TGAACGCGAGACTGATTACCCTGTAAACACCACGTAACGCCGAGACGCTGATGTACCTGTAAGCACACGTAAGCGCGAGACTGAATCATCCCCCTGTAACAACACGCTAACGGTCGCAGACCTGAGATTACCCGTGTAATATACGTAACGCGAGACTACTGATTGATTGCCATATGGTTGGAGAAGGAAAGAAGAGACGGAAAAGAAGAGAGGATAAACGATGGAAGACGGCTGGAGAAGAGGGAGGGAGGGAGTGGATCCCAGCAGCAGCAAAAAGTAAGAGCGGAGGCAGGGGAACCGGAGCGGTAGCAGGCCAGAGGAGGGCAGGAGCCGGAGGATGAGACAGTCAGTAGAAAAAAACATTGTCGGGGGGCCTCGTTGAGGCGGGTCTCCACCTAAGCCGGGCGCCAGCGTACGCCAGCAAGTCGGAACACAGCGCAGTATTGTCCGAAGCATGCGGCGGAGCTGGCTAGTTAGCGAAGGCCCCGCGCTCGCTAGGATGTCGACTGAGCGCAGAATAGAAGACGAGAAAGCCGTTCCATGAATGTTCCAGCCGCCTCTTCAGGTACGCGTGCTTCCCTTGATGAGAACCCCTTCGCTAGCACCTGTAGCAGAAGTCAGCGAGATGAGAGAGAGGAGTGATAGTCTCACACTGGTCGCGCCGATTGTTTGAAACAGAAGTGGCCTAAAACCCAGCAGCAACAGAGCGATTATCTCACACGTGTCGCAGCCATGTTGAATTAGAGGCTAAAACCAGCCTCTCTCTCTTTCTCTCTTTCTCTTTCTCTCTCTCTCTCTCCCTCTCTCTCTCTCTCTCTCTTTCGCTCTGTCTGTTCCTTCTATCGTTCTAAGTTTCTTTATTCTATCTATTTCTAAAATGCTACAAGCTGTTGTCTTTGGGCATTTATTCATCATTATCATGTACTCATCTAAAACAGTTAACGCTAATGCAGACCACGAATCATTCGCTCCCTATACACCGAAAGCGCCCTAGAAGGGTGGGGTGGGTACGTATATGACACAGGTGGTTCCTTCTCTCGTTCCACGAACTTGACGCACATAATATCAGGGACGGCAAGCTAAAACCAGACTTGCGGGTACACATACATAATCGTAGTGCCCAGGCAGGCTCTGTGCTTCTCGTAGTCTCGCTATAGCCTTTTGTTAATTTTCAAACGAAAACGTAGCAATATCAGTTATAATGTGAACCATACGTGTCTACCGTATGCGTAAATAAGTATACATTGCGTTATATATGTGTATCGTAACTTGTCAACGTTACTAATTTGTGCATTTCTCGTCCTCCACAATGCCCTGCCTTTACGTCACCTTTCCTCCTTCCACCTCTACCTCATGTCCAGATAATGAATTCGCGCAGACTGTTTTGAATTCACTGTTCTTCTCACGTATTTCTCAATCCTTAAGATTAGCTCTCACATGTTCCTTGGCTAAGATGTCTCCTGATTTATTAGCCACCTGTATAGCAGACCTCTCTGTGTGCAAACATGAGAGACTGCGTAGTGACTCCGAGGATACTCACCTATGTACAGACAGAGACCCGCTGTGCTGGTGTGGTCAACCGTGTTATAGTAAACGCAGCGGAGACCCCCGTACCTTCCTACCCTAGAGGCCTGGTCCACTGTCGGGTTACCACCATGCCATTCCCGATCAACCGACGTTCGAACCACTATCTACTCCTATTGTAACAACCAACTTGATCTTTGCGTGACCCCGAGTATGTGTTACTTTTAACAGCACCATAGAAATGTATAGATGGACTAGTATGTTATTTCTAGTATACTACCCCATCTATTCCATTATTTTAGCATATATATTAACGTATCCGGCACGCCATTGTAGTATAATAACCAATTGGGTACGTTTCCTTTATTATCCGCCGCGTCGGTGCAGAGCTGAAGGAGCCGCCATATTACATCAACTTTTCGCCCGCTCGCTTCTTCATCCACAACATCTGCACGAGCAAGTACTTCGACCTCGCCATCGCCGCCGTCATCGGTCTCAACGTCATCACCATGGCGATGGAGTTCTACATGATGCCAGACGTAAGCAGGCGGGAAAGCGGAAGACGTCTTCCTGTAACGACACGTCCTCTACTGGGAAGGGGGTCGTCCTGTCTAGGTTCCTGTCGTTAATCGAGGAAAGGGGAAGGGGTCTTCCTTTGACGAAATGTTCTCGCGTGAGACCGGGGGCAAAGTGTAGCCCTGTAGTCTCAGTTCCTGTCGTTAACCACGAGAAGAGGAAGAGGAAGCAGACGCGAAAGAGGAAGCATAATAGTGGTAGCGTGAGATCATTCTCTCATATTAGTCCTTGTCGTGTGCAGAGAGAAGGGATGATCGTGTCATATACTAGCTCCTGACGTGAATAGGGAAAAGAAGTTATCCTATCACCTCACTTCCTGGCGTGAGCAGAGGGACTTGAGAGTCTGGCCTCGCCTATCCTATTCGAGATTGAAGAAGTGTGTGCGTCGTGCGTGCAAGCG